GCAACGGCAGGCTGCGTCAGCAGTGGGCGTGTATCTCAGTAGGGACGGGTTGCCTCGGCAACGGCTGTCTGCGTCAGCAGTGGGCGTGTATCTCAGTTGGGGCGGGTTGCCTCGGCAACGGCTGGCTGCCTCAGCGGTGGGCGTGTATCTCAGTTGGGGCAGGTTGCCTCCGTAGTGGTGGACGCCCCTCCCCCACAGAGCGTCTCGGACCGTCTGCCCGGGATAGTTTGAAATCACGGTTTTGTTCGTCCCACTGGGTATCCCAAGCGATCTGTCCCGGCAATCCCCTGGGCTGGGCTACTGTGCAAGTCTCGTTCAGTCTCAAGTCCAGCCCTCTCAAGTCTCAGGTTGCCGGTTCAACAAGGCACCCGGACAAGCGCGCCCTGTGGGGATTGCTGGGTAGGGCCGGCCGCCGCCGCCGCCCCGGCTGCCGGCTTCGCCGGGCAGACCTACTGCCTGGCGTCCCGTGTCTTTTTATACTTGGGAGTTTCCCCGTTCTGTGGGCGACAAAGATCAGTCTGGAAATGCAGCACTGACTCACCGTTTGCGAATTCAACGCGGGCTCCAATCCTGGGTTGTTCTCACAGCGCCATCTTGAGTCCCCTCCTGATTTAATTATTCTGCAATGCAAACATATAGCAAAACATCACACTTTCACACTGTACCTCAGAAATATAATATATACAATCATTGTCTATCAAATCAAATAAAAATTTATAAATAAAAATACACAGTATGACTCACAACAAATATTTATTGAACATTAAAATTACAATGTATATGGCATCAAGGAAATTATACTCTGCACAAAAAGAGAACATCACACATGAAAATGTTAGCAATATAAGGCTGCCTGAGTGTCAAATGACTGGTAATAACAAGTAATCTTTATTAAATGCTTACCATGTGTTTACTAATACTTCACATGTATTATCTCATCTAATGCTCACAATAGCCTCCAGAAGAAATGCTAGGATTATTGCAATTATAATTATTTCTGTTTTAGATAAGGAAACCAAGGCTCAGAGAGGTTGAGTAATTTGCCAAGTCATATGGATGACAGATGGCAGAACCAGGATTTGAACTCAGCCTCTCTGATGACAAAGCTAGTGTATAATAGCTTTAAGGAGTTGCAGAGACAAAAGCTGTCTTCTCTGGAGAGCCAGCAGTTTTTGTGGTAGCATGGGGATTTGAGCTAAGCTCTGAAGGCTGGAAGGCCTAAGATGAGTGGAAAGATGGAAGGAAAACATTTACAATGGAGGGAAGGCTGTGAGCAACAGCCAGAAGGCTGGTGTGGCCAAGGCCTCCAGAGAGCAGAGGCAGGCCTTACCCTTGGCCTCCTGTGTAGCAATTCTCCCAGCCCTGCTGGGTCTTCTCAAATCCAGAGCTGGGGAGCCTCTGCCACGGCTCCATCCAGCTGTTTTGGGAGTCACACTTGGGCCTTTCTATTGCACCAACATGGAAGGACAGGCACCCCCTCCGGAAACCCACAGATACTTCCAAAAAACCAACATTAAAAAAAAAAAACGAGCCACTGGAATGCCTTAAAGGGCTACACCATGGAGAGTGGCACAAGGACATACAACCCTGGGGGGCTTTGTGAGTAGTACACCTGCTCAGCAGAGACCCACACTTCCAAGCCTGGGTTGACGAGAGTGGGCACTGCCCTTCCATCACATAATGACTCCTTCTCTGCTATCTTAGAGCCACCAAGTCTCGACTCTGACTCCTGCTGTACCTCTCAGACTCTAATCCTGGATTTTGTCTCTTTACACAACAATTTCCTATATGCCTCCCAAAGACCACTCCTCTGCAATTTAGAGTCAAACTGGATTCGTTATAGAAGCCCAGGGATCTTTCCCTGAAGAAAGTCTTTGCTTAATTTATGTGGCTCTATGAAGTTGATTTTCCTATCAAGTCACATGGCCTTCTCCTCCCATCTCATCTAAAGTGGTGTCATTTGACTGCACATGGATTAGTTTTCTTCAGTCCTGGGCCTAAGCAAAGGAAGAGAGGCTTGTCTTCAGTTCTTCCTTCTGTTCACTGACAAATTGAGGTGGTCCTTCCTCCTGTGCAGCTTTCAGCAGCCCCAAGTCTGCCCCAAGGCCCACAGGTACCTTCTCAGCAGCAGCCCCATAGGCCAGGCCTTCTCAGAGCACCAAGGTCTCCACACTGTTTGGTGTAGGCTCTGTTCCCAGTGTCGGAGGAGCTGCTCTAGGTGAATTCTTCCCTAGATTACAGGTTTCTGTACTCAGTACCCTGTAATTATAACAGCCTTTATACCCAGTGTAGTGTTTGGACAGGGAGCCCATTTAGGAAGGGCCATTGTCAGAGCTGAGAGTCGCTGGGCACTGCCATCTGAGTTTCAGCTAATTCCCAGGCAGGGCCCTGGGTGCTGGAGAGGACTTAAAGGATTGCATAAATAAAATGCAATTCTGTCTCCCAAGTGAGAAAAATTACATAGTAACTGTAAATAGTCAAATAAGACTCAGAATTGTTTTTCTCTAATAATATTGCAAAGAGATGCAGCACATGGTCTCTAATATCATTTTTATTGTCATTCTGTGATTCTCTGAATGATTTGCATTCATTCATTTGACAAACACAGATTAAATACCTACCAAGTTGTTTCCCAGGCGAGGCATTCATCTGCATTAATTCACCCAGGACATTTTACCTGACTGGAGCTAGAGATACAGGCATGAAACAGAACAAAGCTAACGTGCCCACAAAGAAAAAGAGCCACACTTCAGCTTCTGTTAATGCCCACTTCCAGCCAGCCGAGCTAACCAGTCAGAACAGGAGATTCTAGCAAGCCTTTGGGTACATACACTATCTGAAGAGTCTACGGGCCCCCAAGTATTGGAGAAAGGAAACCAAGCAACCATTTCCAGTTTGGTTCCTAAACAGAGACAAAGCAGAAATAGAACCTAGGAACGTTGGGCTTCCAAGCAAATGTGGTATTTATGAGGTTCTGCACCTCCCACTGCCCCAGAGATTGCCAAACCCCATCAGAGTGAAGTAGCAAAGTGCAGACCATGCAGTGTGCAGCCCCTGCAAAGGACCAGGGATGTGCAGGATACACTGTTTTAATGCATGTCCCCTTTTAATTACACAGCCAGTCAAGAGCTCTCAGCTCCCACGCACCCAGGTCCTTATAATACTAGACTGTTCTACAGCCATCCCCAGTAGCAAACACAACTGCTAGCCTCAGCTCCCTGAGAGAGCAGGGGTTCCAGCTGATATGATCAGTTCGGCAACACTTCCTTGTTGCCTTGCTTTTCTCCAGATCATGGCCTGTTGCCACGAGTCAAGGAGATGGATCCTCTGCCATCATTTTCTGGAAAAGGCTCCCATTAAACTTTCTTCTACCCTGGAACAGAAGAGTAGTTTGCAGAAAGAACTTCAGATCTGGTTTCTGATATGATTCAAATCAAAACACAGTACCTGAAAGGGAAAACCAAGTGAATTCTGGCAAGGATGTTCAGTTCTTCCTGGGAGATTTTAGCTCTGATATTTCCATGGCTGCACAGAGAGATGCCCAAGGTCTAAATTGGGTGAGAGCATGTAATACTGGGATATACTATGAAATACATATTTGGTCTCTGCCTGAGATTCTTAAAACCTTTGGAATTTCCTGAGAGATGATGAGAGGGGCATCTTTTGTTATTCATAATAAGCCTCTTTCAACTATACCTGAGTTTATGCTAAAGGAAGATGCCTGGTCCCCAAAGGAACCAACCATGTGATGTGACTGGAACTTTCACCCCCACCCTGGAATTCTGGGGAGGAGATAAGAGCCAGGGATTGAGTTCACTCACCAGTAGCCAGTGACTTCATCAAGCGTACTTACATGATGAACCCTCCATAAAACCCGTCTTAAAATGACCAAAGAACCTACATAGATACTTCTCCAAGAAAGATTGTGTGGATATCAGGAAAAGGCAAATCAAATCCACAATAAGATGCTACTTTACATCCACTAGGATGGCCAGAATCAAAGAGTCAGAGAATACATCTAGACGTGGATATAGAGAAATCAGAAAACACTGATTTTATATTAACTGTGGAAAGTAATCTGACAGTTTCTCGAACAATTATACATGGAGTTACCATATAATCCAGCAATTCCACTCCTAAGCAAATACTCAAAAGAAGTGAAAACATGTCTGTAAAAAAGCTTGTACCCAGATGTTTGTAGCAGTGTTCTTCATAATAACAAAAAGTGGAAAGAACTCAAATGCTCATCAGCTGATGAATGAATAAACAAAATGTGATATATCCATCAACAGACAATTATTCAGCCATAAATAAGAAATGAAGTATCCATAAAAGCTACAATATGAATAAACCTTAAAACAATTATTTGAAGTGAAGGAGACCAGTCACAGAAGGCCACAAATTTCAACTATATGAAATGTCAGTATAGGGTATTCACAGAGACAGAATTCTCTATGGTGGGGGGTGAATTACCCCTAGGTGGGGGGATAAGGGGGAGAATGGAAGGAGAGGAGTGATAACTAAAGGGCACAGGGTTTCTTTTTGAGGTAAATAAAATGTTTTAATGTTGACTGCAGTGATAGATGCATGACTGTGTGATTATACTGAAAACCATTGGATTGTACACTTTAAATGGGTGAAATGTATGGCATGTCAATTATATCTCAAAAAAGCTGTTAAGGAAACTTAACAGTGGCTTTTGTGTTATGTAATTTTCTCCAACTTATACACAGAATTAATACCCACTATCACATGAGGATCCATGGAGTTTTAAATGTTAAGAGTTTTTTTCTATGAGCCATAAAAAAAAATGATGACTTGCTCTTTATCACATTTAAAACATCTTATCATCAAAATACCCTATTAAGAAAATGAAAATCCTAACTACAGACTGGGAGATGATATCTGCAATATATATATCTGACCAAAAATCTTATATCCAAAATATACAGAGAACTCATAGTAGGAGAAAAATAACCCAATTACAAATCGGCAAAAGAGGGCTCACTTCAGCAGCACATATACTAAAACTGGAACAGTATAGAGAAGATTAGCATGGCCCCTGAGCAAGGGTGACAGGCAAATTCATTAAGCATTCCATATTTTTACTGGAAACATTCCCTTTGAAAACCAGCACAAGACAAGGATCCCCTCTCACCACTCCTATTCAACATCAAATTGGAAGTTCTGGCCAGGGCAACCAGGCAAGAGAAAGAAAAAATGGGCATTCAACTAGGAAAAGACTAAGTCAAATTGTCTCTATTTGCAGATAACATGATTGTATATTTAGAAGACCCCATCATCTCAGCTCAAACTCTCCTTAAGCTGATAAGCACTTCAGCAAAGTCTCAAGATATAAAATCAATGTGATTAATTCACAAGTATTCCTATACACCAATAGCAGAGAAACAGAGAGCCAAATCATGAGTAAACTCCCATTCACAGTTGCTACAAAGAGAATAAAATACCTAGGAATACAATTTACAAGGGATGTGAAGGACCTCTTCAAGGAGATCTACAAACCACTGCTCAAGGAAATAAGAGAGGACACAAACAAATGCAAAAATATTCCATGCTCATGGTTAGGAAGAATCAATATTATGAAAATGGCCATACTGCCCAAAGTAATTTATAGATCTGATGCTATCCCCATCAAACTACCATTGACCTTCTTCACGGAACTGGAAAAAAAACACTTTAAACTTCATATGGAACCAAAGAAGAACCCGCATAGCCAAGACAATCCTAAGCAAAAAGAATAGAGCTTGAGGCATTATGCTAGCTGACTTCAAACTATATTACAAGGTTACAGTAATCAAAACAGCATGGTACTGGTACCAAAACAGATATCTAGACCAATGGAACAGAACAGAGGCTTCAGAAATAATGCCACACATCTACAACCATCTGACCTTTGAAAAACCTGACAAAAACAAGTAATGGGGAAAGGATTCCCTATTTAATAAATGGTGCTGAGACAACTGGCTAGCCATAAGCAGAAAGTTAAAACTGTATCCCTTCCTTACACCTTATATAAAAATTAACTCAAGGCCAGGTGCGGTGGCTCAAGCCTGTAATCCCAGCACTTTGGGAGGCCGAGGCGGGTTGATCACGAGGTCAACAGATCGAGACCATCTTGGTCAACATGGTGAAACCCCGTCTCTACTAAAATTACAAAAAATTAGCTGGGCACGGTGGTGCATGCCTGTAATTCCAGCTGCTCGGGAGGCTGAGGCAGGAGAATTGCCTGGACCCAGGAGGCGGAGATTGCGGTGAGCTGAGGTCGCGCCATTGCACTCCAGCCTGGGTAACAAGAGCGAAACTCCGTCTCAAAAAAAAATAAATATATAAATTAACTCAAGATGGATTAAAGACTTAAATGTAAGACCTAAAATCATAAAAACCCTAGAAGAAAACCTACACAATATCATTCAGGACATAGGCATGGGCAAAGACTTCATGACTAAAACACCAAAAGCAATGGCAACAAAAGCCAAAATAGATAAATGGGATCTAATTAAACTAAAGAGTTTCTGCACAGCAAAAGAAACTATTATCAGAATGAACAGGCAACCTAGAGAATGGGAGAAAACTTTTGCAATATATCCATCTGACAAAGGGCTAATATCTAGAATCTGCAAAGAACTTAAACAAATTTACAAGAAACAAACACACACAACCCCATCAAAAACTGGGTGAAGGATATGAACAGACACTTCTCAAAAGGAGACATTTATTCACCCAACAAACATATGAAAAAAAGCTCATCATCACTGGTCATTAGAGAAACACAAATCAAAACCACAATGAGATACCATCTCATGCCAGTTAAAATGATGATCATTAAAAAATCAGGAGACAACAGGTGCTGGAGAGGATGTGGAGAAATAGGAATGCTTTCACACCATTCTTAGGAGTGTAAATTAGTTCAACCATTGTGGAAGACAGTGTGGCAAATTCCTCAAGGATCTAGAACTAAAAATACCATTTGACCCAGCAATCCCATTACTGGGTATATACCCAAAGGAGTGTAAAGACACATGCACACATATATTTATTGTAGCACTGTACAATAGCAAAGACTTGGAACCTACCCAAATGCCCATCAATGATAGACTGGATAAAGAAAATATGGCACATATATCTAATGGAATACTATGCAGCCATGAAAAAAAGATGAGTTCATGTCCTTTGCAGGGACATGGATGAATCTTTAAACCATCATTCTCAGCAAACTAACACAAGAACAGAAAACCAAACACTGCATGTTCTCACTCATAAGTGGGAGTTGAACAATGAGAACACATGGACACAGGGAGGGGAACTTCACACACTGGGGCCTGTAAGGAGTCTAGGGGAGGGATAGCATTAGGAGAAATATCTAATGTAGATGATGGGGTGATGGATGCAGCAAACCACCATGGCATGTGCACACCTATGTAACAAACCTGCACATTCTGCACATGTACCCCAGAACTTAAAGTATAATTTTTAAAAATGGAATACAATGAAAAAAAACTAACAAAAATTGGCAAAAGATGTCAATAGACCAGAAGTTGTACAAATGCCTAATAAGTTCATGGAAAGATGTCCAATATAGCTAGTCATCTGAGAAATGAAAATTTAAAGTATAGTAAGATGCCACCATGTATCCACTAGCGTGAGGATGAGGAGTAAGCAGAACTCTCAGACACTGCTGGTAATAATGTACAACCACTCACCAGCAGTGGTACAACCACGTTGGAAAATCTCACAGTTTCTTATGAAGTCAAATATGATACAGCAATTTCATTCTTAGGCATTTACTCAAGATATAGGAAAATCATGTTCACACAAAGATTTGTGTATAAAAGTTCAGTAGAAGCTTTATGTATATAAAAAAAAAAAACAGAAGTCCATCAGGAGATAAATGGATAAATACATTGTGGTATGTCCATACAATGGAGGAGTATTCAGTAGTAAAAAGAAATGAACTGTTGATTCATGAAGTAACACAGAAGAATCTCAAAAATATCATACTAGGCAAAAGGAGCCAGACACAAAAGAGGACATGCTATGTAATTCTATCGAGCTCTAGAAAACAGGGTATGGCCTATTAAGTGGCAGAAATCAGGCCATTCTTGTCCTTGGCTGGGATGGAGGTAAGACTGATTGAGAAGGGGAACAAGGGAGCTTTCTAGGGCGACAGAAATATTCTCCATCTTGCTTGGGGAGGTGGTTACGTGACTGTATTTATTACTTGTCAATATTTACTAAACAGTATATTTAAAATGAGCACATTTTATCGTATGTAAAGTATACCTCAATACAGTTGACATTAAAAGTGTTTTTCTTACTCATTTTGACTTTCTTTACCCTAGACCAGAGAGGTCAAGAAACTCCGGACCCCAGGGCAAATCCAGCCTGCCACCTGGATGACTGCTATCCAGTCTTTCACCTCTACAATGCTTTTATTTAAGGGAATCCAGGTTGGATGAGCTTCCAGATAAGTTTAAAGGCGGGCAGGGGGGAGGATCAGCTAAAAATAGTTTTGACATTTTTTAATGACAGGGGAAAAAAGGCAAAAGAAAGATATTATTTCATGACACATAACATATATGTGTCGTTCAAATAATAAAGTTTTATCGGAGCACAGCCACAGCCACGGCTTTCAGACTATAGTGGCAGGAGACTATATGGCCTACACAGCCTGAAATACTTATTGTCTGGCCCTTTCTAGAATAGGTCTCCTGACCCCTGCTCCAAACAACAGTCTCTTCTCAATGACACCATTCCTTTGCAGGCTACAAGGAAGAAAGGAGTGCTTATGTTTGTATTTTGAAACAAAAAAGAGTCAACATTTAGTGAGAAAAGCAGCGAGGGTAAACCAGCAGCCATTTCTGTTTTCTTGTCACTGGCTTGGCTATTGGAAATTATGGGGGTTCTCTGGAGTTCTGGTACCTTTGTGAGAAATTGGTCAGGCTTTGAGCGGCATTCCACAGACAAAACATCCCCCTTGCCCCTTACTGTAATGTCAGCTTGATGGGGCAGCCAGTTTCTGGCCTTTGTGGGGAAGGACAATAGATTATTATAAAGATCCTCTCAGGGCCCACTGTTCTTCGACATTTTCTTTTTCTCTTAGAGCCCTGTTCTTATGACTCAGAGACTCACTTTAGAAACAGACACAAGACGTCTTCACTTCCGTCTTCTGTATCAGCCGCCTACCTTCAGAAGAGACTCAATTTTCCCCCACCAGTTCTCGTCTTAATGGAAGGAGCTGGGAGCCAGAGCAGAGATTTCCTTTCTTGTCTCTCTTCCCCATCCCAGCCTGCTCTCTGTGTCCCCATGGCCCAAGGCTGTCCCAAGAGGCTCAAGGGTCAGAAGCAAACCAGGTCCTGTTGCTCTCCGATCCTTCACCTCCACAATGTTTTGATTTAAGGGAATCCAGGTTCAATGAGCATCCAGATAAGTTTAAAGGGGTAAACGTAATCAAAACACACAACTTAAGAGGTGTCTGTGAAAAAAAGACAGACCATTAACTTTACCTCGTTGATATATTCGGGTGATTACAAGTTCAGTAACTCATTGGAACCTGAGATCTCCTGCTGATGACTTCCTCAACTCAGCAGCCACCCCACTGTGTCAGGGCCAGGGGTACTGATTCAGTTTTTCATTCCTTAGGAGCATGTCTATAAATTAACTCAGAGTTACAGTCAGAGAAATGCAGCCTACTGGTGGACAAAGCTAAAACCAGAAGCCTCACTCAGAAATGTTCTTGTCAAGCAAACGCCTCATCTCCTCCTGCTAAAAACATTTTCTCTCCCATGAACCCACATGAGGAACAATTCAGTGAGGTGAGTGGGTCGTTTCCTTTGGCAAAGGAGGAGAAAGGACAAAAGGCTGGACATCTTTCCATTCATTCTGATGTAAAGATGATTGACTGCTTTATTTACCTAATAAAATCTTTCTCCAGGTGAACACACTGAGACGGAAATGTGTTATTTGCATGGCAGACCTAGGGCATTGAAAGCATAGCACTGTTCACATAAATTACTTTTCAAAGAAACACAGGGGATGAGGACTTCAAGCAGAATGAAAACAAGCTCATACTGAGAGATGATACTGAAT